ACCCATTTCGATGGTTACATTATGTTTCTTTTGATTCTTCTCCTTAAAAAGTTTATAATTTTCAGGCTAGAGGGGTATCCCTTAATATTATGTTATTTTTGTACTAATAGCTTTTTAGCTGTTTATTTTAATTGTACATTTGTCTAACTAGGCTTTCTTGTATAGTTTTTCTTGTTTAATACTAGTAAGTTTTACATTTACAATTTAAATTACAGCTTGTCAATAGCTTTTTAGCTATTTTATTTTAATTGTACATTTGCCTAACTAGGCTTTCTTGTAAAACTTTTTTCGTGTTAATTAATAAGTTTTACAATTACAATTTAAATTACTGTGCATTGGGGAAAAGGAGCGAAATAATTGAGACTTACTAAACTATTTTAGATTATTAAGTTGGATTATTATATTAGGGAAATTACGTTTATAGTCTCAATTATTATCGTTTGACAAAACGCGCTAAAGGTATTAACTTGATTCGAGTTTTGAGCTGCTTTTCCCTTGGTAAATCCGTCTCAAACCTCAAGTTGAGCTATTTACCATTTATTGTAATTTTTTATACATATTTAAGGTGTATTTGAAATGTATTTAATTTTTACAAGAGTTCTTTTTAAAACTGTTTGCGTGTTAAAATTTCTTAATTTTTTCTCACCCTTTTTGATTTTGAAGTCATCTCGATTTGTAATTTTTACATTTAGTTTTTATGAGATAGCTTTTACTACTTTAATATCGTTTTCTAGTTGTTACAAGATTTTACATTTTTACTAAGGAACTGTAGTGTCAAATGTATTTTTAGCATTAGCTTTTTAACATTCCTCTTACTTATAATATATATATGTAAGATAAAAGTATATGAATCAAAATTATAGTTTAAACTACAAACATTAATTATTCCTCTTTATTCTAAAATCATAATAACTTCTCTGCATTGCGTCATTGTAGATCACTCTATGGCCCGCGCAACTCTGATGACGTAATAATTGGGAACTGAAACTGCCATTGTAAAGCAAAACTTTTCTCGTCGCCGTGCTTTCATCTTTCATATGTATGCACTTCAGCTTTGCTCTCTACGATGGTAAGATGTAATTACGCTGGCTTGCTTTCTATCTCAACAATATCAAATATGCAAATCTTCTATGGAAAGGCATGACTAGAGTGCCAAGTGATTGTGGCCAAAATATTAGTTGCAAATAAAAATGGAATTAAAACTGCCTCGACTGCCAAGTTCTTTAGATATTACCAAGTTAGCATTACTAGCATACTACGCAATCAAAATCTTCTTCAATATGGGTCTAATCACGCATCTACAGTGTTCCGTCTTTTCCTTTGCTTTTATTATGACATATATATATATGAGCCAGTCTCTTTCTTTTATTACATGTAGAGACTATAATAAATATATATTTATTTAATTTTTTGTATATCTTATATATATATATATATATATAAACTAAACTTGTATAATATGGATATTGAACAAATTGCCGATTTATTATTTACCATACTTAGTTTTGTTTTTTGTAGGACAACAAATCCCTCTTTCTTAAGCCCAAATTTCACCAATACTGCTGCAGAAGACAAATAACACTTGTTTTCAAGGATCAGGTTTCTTTTTACACTTTTTGTTTTTAAGAACCACATTTCTTTTCACTTCCCCCCTTTTTTTTGTCTAATGCATTTGGAAATAGTTCAGATAAAAACACTGCAATACAAAAAACACTAAATAACTGGTTTTGATCTTTAGAGAATCAATAAATTGCATCAATAAGGACCAAGCAATAGACATTAGCAATTAATTAAGAAAGTTAAACAGACATTATTCTTAAATTTGCAATAAAACAAAAGATTTTTTCCCCCTTTTTTTTTTCCAATAGCTGTGTATGCTTCTCTCGCATAAAATGAACAACTACCTGGATTATTTAATGGTTTTTACTGACAAAAGTAAAAAAACATTTCCAAAATATTCAACATTAACTTTGAGGATCATTCCATATATATGTTAAAGAATACCTCTGTTACCAAGTCATTCTTAAAAATGCATGAAAGCTTAAATCAAACTGCTTTTTCAGTGATGAAGAGGAAAGATATTATTTAAAATTGAATATTTTGTAGAAGGTTCATTCAAAATCTAACTGATCCATTATGTGAAACACAAATTATTTTTTAAAATAATATAAATAAATAAAATTTATAGCATTCACTTCAGGTAATTCGACAGTAAGCCTATCAATCAACAAAGAAGTAATTATTGCTAAAATATTAAAATGTTGCAAGATGCATTGTGTGTACATTTACCTCATTGTGACTGCATGTAAAATGAAAGAAAGCAATTTAAGTATACTTTTTGTTTAGACAAAAGTTATAAGATTTTAATACTCAAAACTTAAAGCATTTTAAAACTTCTTATTACATAAATTTATGACCTAATATAGAGATTTCATACTGTATAGAGGTCATAAAAATGAAGCTGGCTCCTAATTAAGAACAAACAGCTACAAGACAATTTCAGATTCTCCAGCTTACTGATATTATTATACACGGGTCATTACTCCATTATAAATTTTCCAGTTTGTAACATAAATATGAAACTTGTTTGTAACATTAATATGAAACTTTTCACACTTTTAGAATAGAAACATTTAAGAAGTTCACTTCTTTACAGTTTTCTGTAAGAATAGAATAGGAAGTGAAATAAATTACACTTAACATGACTAAAACGTGGATCAGTTTCATCTTCTAGTCAGCTCTCTGTTCAATTCTTTAAAAATACCTTGACTGTGAACCTCTAAAATATCACATTAAAATAACAGAAATGACCCAGACATGCCTTAAACATTTCCGTGAAACAGGACTTTCTGAGACAGATGATGTCCTTGTCGACTCTTTTTTAACCTGGTATTTCAGAGATTCACATTCATTGTACATTGAATAGAATTTAGCAGAGAGCTGACTACAGAAGATGAAACCAATCCACTTTAAAGTCATAGGTGAGAAAACAGCCACGTAGATATGACTGGAGAGAAAATCACAGCTGGCATGATTGTTAAAACATCATTTTTTTTAACAAGAAAAACTCATCAAAGATACATTTTTTGCTTAAAGTAGTATGACATTAGGGATGCCAAACGTGCCTCACAATTTCTATATATGCAGTTTACATTTTAGATAATAGAAAAAGAAGCTTAGCAAAATGACATGACTTTTCCAAGAGCAAGCAGGCAAAAGAGTGATCATATAAACATAGTCATATTTATAAGCTTTAGAAGTCTTTGTTTTAATTCTGAGCAGCGACTGGGCAACGGATTTTGCAGTGCAGAGGAATTGCAAGGAAAGCGTAACATAACATGCTTCAGAGCGATTCAAAATGATGTAAAGCATATCCTTGAAAAGTGAATGTTTCATTAAAAAATATGAATTGAAAGATATATTGCCAACTGGTTCAAGTTAAGTTTAAAATCTTGCTGGAATTATCATTTTGTATTTTAGATATATATATATATACAGTCAAAAGTCTTTAGTCCGGACTTGTTGGTACTTCAGCGATTCTGGATTATTGATTTCGGATTATAGATCATCAGTTTAAATCTCGTAAGATGGCATGCAGAAATTATAAAATTAAAAATATGAAACCGTAATTTATGAAATAAAGAGCAATTATGATCTAAAGGGTATCAAAATTTACAAAAAAGAAAAGCTTAATATTTATTTATTTACTTTATTAATTGTTACATAATTACATTTCTTTCAATGCGTGCATGCATAAAGCACACATTACGCATAGTCGAAATTAGAAAATTGCAACCAGAAAACAATTTGATGTGTATTCGTGATATTTATTTATAATGACGAGGAATTTGATTTAAATCATATCAAAGACGGAATACATCGAGATGAAATAGTACTACATTTAGTAAGGAATTATAAGCTGAATAAAATAAAAACATCTGCCCTGAAGATAAAGATAGTGCTGACAGATCAACTTCCAGTTCATCATGTGCCGCGACGCCCCCCTCCCCCGCAGAGCAGCGTGAAACTGATAAACAGATTTTGGAATGGTTAGAGAAACAAAGGATATGCCTTTATACATTTTTTGCAGCAATTCCACTTTTTGTTTGATGGACATCGAAACATATTTTCGCTTTGTAGATCCTTTACATATTAGTAAATATATATCGGAAATTCTATTTGACATAATCGAAAGTTCAAGCTTACTTATATAAAATTACTCTAACAGTCTTCAAAATAATAAGCCCGATCCAATTAGAAGATTAAGGAACAACGCAATCTGCAACATTAACTGAAATAGATAATTAGATAATTTTAGCTTAGCTTATACCGTCCGTTATACATTAAATGCGCATGCGTCAATGTATTATGCGCATGCGTAAAAGTATTACGCGCATGTGTCAATGTATTATGCGCATGCGTAAAAGTATTACGCGCATGCGTGAATGCATTACACGTTGACGCATGCGCAGAAAGTTTGTAGCTTTGAGGTCCGGATTATAGATCATTCCGGTTTATGGGTGTCCGGATTAATGACTTTTGACTGTATATATATATATAACTGCAAAATTTTCAATGGAGTTTTCATGGCTGATTTATATTTGCTTTAGTTAGACTTTCTACTTTGTGAATTAAACCTTTGACAGTTGGGATATAAAGCAATTCTTTCCTCCCAAATACACAATATCTGTCGGCTGTAAATTTGTAATGCCAGCTACGTTTGTTTGTGCCCATTATGGTGTGTAACTGGAATGAAAGCTGAGCTCATTGATGACCCTCAACAGGTTAACAGAAGGTGTTTTATGATTATGTTAAAAACTAAGTAGTAGTCTGTCCCATAAAACATTACATACACACTTTTAATTGAATTTTAGTAAGCAAATTTTTCTGTATTATTTAACATATGTTATGGGACAGACTTAATCAGACATATGTTACAGGAAATGAAACTTTCCTCCACTTCCTATAAAACAAAGTAATCAGAAAATGTGCTGACTAACCTGATGACCGATTCTGAGTGTTACAACTGCAACATCGACCCATCTTGCATGCATCCATGTGTTTTGAACTTTTGGTAGGGCTTTTCTCGCAAAATTTAACAGCTTTCTTACTGTGTAAACAATTTATATGTGATTCTATATTCTGAACATCACTTTTCTGATCCAAAGAAGGCAGTATATTTTCATTACTAAATGGAAATGGAATGTTATTTCCTGAAAACTCTTGAAGATTTTCATCAGTGCAGTTTTCAAATGAATATCCTTTTTTCTTAGAATTGGAAGTAACTTCATTTTGCTGCAAGAGAAGAGGAGATGAAGGCTTATAATTATTGCAAGGATGACACTGTTTAGAGTCTGCCTGAGGAAAGAAGTCTGGGGAAATATTAGCTATCATGTTATGATGATACTTTTTTAAAGCTGCATCAGTTTTAGGAATTGCAACAAATTCAGAAAACTTAGGTTCATTACAATGCGAATTTTTTAAGCCACTGCAAAGACCTTGCTTGCAATGTGATAAATCTCCATCAGGAGATTTTCCACCTTCTTTAGTGCACATTACTGAAGATGCACTAGTGCAACGAGTAGGTAAATGTACTCTACATGGCCTTTCTTCACACTGATCAACAGAGCTAGACTTTCGCAGAATACTTCTAGGCATGTGTCGTTTATAAGTAGCATCGACAAAGTTAGATTTCAATTTAGTTGCATCATCTGCATTACAATAAGAAGAAGATAAGCTTTGATGGCGATTTTTAGAATATGCTCCTTCTTTTGGAAATGCATTTTCGCTTTTCAAGCCTTTCGTATGTGTTTTAGAAATGAGGATTTTTAGGTCATCTGGTAGTAACACATTTAATGATTCCCAATCCTTTATTTTTGTTAAATGTTTCTGCAATAAAGTTTCATAAGCTCCATATGATCGAGGTCTTGAAGGTTTCTTTTGATTTAAAATTTCTTGAGGCACCTTGTATTCAGTAGGTGTGAGAAAAACAGATTCTGAATTTTCATCAATAATAGATTTTAAGAAACTTAAATCTGGTAAAGAATAATTTGGATAACATACATAAATGGATTTTTTATCTTTTTGACGATGTTTAGTTTGAGAGGCTACATTCTGCAAAGGGCATTTAACAGCAGTCTCTGAGAAATTATTTGGTTCAGGCAATGATGATGATGATTCTTTGAGAGTGAATCCAGAACTAGAATTAGAGTTATAGAGAATTGATGTCTGCACAGAAGAATCCTTTACATGTACTGGTATCTGAGTACCACAAGTACAAGTTGTAGTGAGAACTACATTACTCTTCTGGACAACAGCTGGTGTCACAGCAGCATTATGATTCACACTATTACCTTGAGAAGAATGCCTTAATCTTTCCACTGAGCTATGACGGCTGCTTACATATCCACTAGAAGCAGGACTTGAATCTCTAGATGTTGTATAATGCACAGTATTAACAGTATCACAGTCTGTCTGGTTGCTACTAGTTTTACAGCTAAAGGCATGCAAAGGTTTAAATCCTTCTGGTCCAGTACAATCATTGATGTTAAACTGTTTAGTCTGAGTGCTCTGAGAATTATTTTCTGTAGAAACTCCAGGTTTCTTTGATGGCAGATGCTCCTCCCTATTCAGAGTATACACTTTGTTTAAAATCCCTACATTTGATTTGCAGGAAGGGAAAATATTATTTATACGCTCTAAATTGCCGCTACTTTCTTGTCTATTGGTATGCGTAATATGATCGAGAGTATTATTTTGAATAACTGTAATATCTCCAGAAGTACTATCATCACTTCCAAAAGGATTTTTGCTGTCTCTCATGACTTCATCTCCACTTGAGATATCGGTTTCTTCTTCTTCTTTAATAGGAGTAGCATGGAAATGTTTCAGAGGAGGTGATGGCGCATCCATCAAACTATCTTCAAAGTACTGAGAATTGTCACAATCATCATTTCCAGAATTCAATCTGATTTCTTCTATATTATTATTATTAGGCACATTATTTTCAGTATTATACAAGGAGTTAATATTATTATTATTAGTCTCAGTCATATTCTGAACTGAATTCCAGTCTAGAATCTGAATATTATCTACAAACATCTGAGTTTGGTGAGTCTCATTATCATTATGACCTGCTGCTCTATTTTTCTCTTTTTGATTCTGTGAAGGATCATCAGTATTCCTTTGAAGTGGTTTGATTTTATTTTCAGATATGTTTAAGGAATTTTGGAGGCTGGTATTACGGAAGTTCAAAGGCTGGAGGATTAAGGAAGTTGAAGAATCTGACTGGCCACTTGAACCAATAGATGAGTTACTTGACACCTTGTGTTTCATGAATAATTTCAACAAAGACACAGAATGCAAGCATTCTTTGCTATTAGCTACATGCATTCCAGAAGCTTGGTAGTTCTGCACAACTTCATACAAAGGAAAACGGTGATTACCGCACCATTTTGCCCACTGTGTTAATTGCTTATCAGTAATGAAAACTGAGTTATGGCTAAGATTAGGTAAACTCTGGCTTTTTATTGATATTTTGGTATTAGAATCACTTTTTCTGCGACAAACTCTATGACTCCTCCATAGTTTACTCCAAGTAGTGAAAGCTACATCTGACTGTACCATAGAGCTTTGTTTTTTAAAACTAGAACTATAGTTTATTTGAACAGCACCGGATAAACTACCTTCACCTTCACTACTTCGACAAACATCCTGGTAATCAGAATCATCAGAAAATTGGGTACTGCTGCCTTCAAAAACTATGGTATAATTATTTTTATTTGCTTTACATGTTAATACTAAATCTTGATCATAACTAGAACTATTATCTAAACTATCAACAGATATAGTAGCTTCCGGTACAGGTGGTTCCCGAAGAGGAGAAAAAAGAGGTTCATCTTTACAGATTGAAATTTCATCTTCAGAATGACGATTACTGAAAAGTAAAAAAAGAAAAAATTAATCTAGGAATAAAGAACAATATCAGATTATCTCATACATAAATTTGTAATAAAAGAAAATATGTTATAAACATTATGAATAAAAAAATACATATTCAGGTATCCCCTGCTTCAAAATGGCCTGCTTATTGACAATCCATTCTTTTAGCCCTATAACCAGAACCTGTATATTCAACATGCAATCTGTTCTTAAAACCTGTTTTGTGTAAAATTTTGCTTGTTTTGCATCACCTCAACACACTATTATGAAACTTTTAGATATTTTTACAAAAGACAAATGAAATTACTGATTTCAAAAATAATAATAATATTAAAAAAAGGAATGAGTTTATGTTTTGAAAATTTCTGTGCTTTGGCCTCTAACCTGATGACTAAATGGTACATTTTTCTATGTACGAGGGCATTTCGAAAAGTAAAACATTTATTTAGAAAATGTCAGTTACATCTTATTAACTGGATTATTTATTATTTTTCGACATAATCACCCCCTTTATCCAAACATTTGTTAAGTTGGTGCATAAGCTTTTGTATCCCACAGTCATAGAATGTTGCCGCCTGTTGGAACCCAGCGTGCACACAATTTCTTGTACCCTAACTTGACAGTCACAACTTCATAAAGAGTTGTCATTGACACTTCCGGTATGATTTGATGCAATTCTTTCAATTTGAGACGTTTATTCACACGAATTGCTTCCTCTGTTCTCTGAAGAAGGGCATCAGAGATCACAGACGGCTGACCTGTTCTTTGTTCGTCATGAACATCAGTCCTACCTTCAGAAAAATGACGACATCATTTCGTTACATTTTTTCGATTCATAATGTTCACATAAACAGAAACAATTTCTTTGTGAATATCCGCTGTTTGCTGATCTTTTGCATGAAGAAAACGTATGATGGAGCGAACTTCACATTTGGCGGAATTCTGAATCGGCGCAGCCATTTTAAACACGACCTACTCCAACCAGAATCAATGTTGAAATGCCGAACGACCACGAGGAGAAAGCTAACGGTTCAAGGTTAACACCTGTGTTGCCAACTTGCTCACTAAAACTTTTCTTTTCCTCTGGCGTACAGTGTATCTTTACTTTTCGAAATGCCCTCGTACATATTATTCTATTATTCCATGAGTGTTCCTTTCATTTACCCCTCAGAGTGGCATGGCCTTTTCAATACACTTATGAAGAACTGTATGACTTCTTCAAACCATTTATTTCTAAATTCATATGATTGATTTTTCTCTATGATTTCATAAATTTTCACTCAATAAGATTATATGTTCAATGGTCATTAAAGAAAATAAGTAAACAAAGTATTTTAAATAATGATGTAATATATATCAAATGATTAAAAGTCTCGTGACTTGATAAAGGCAGAGATAGGTCAATATTTATAATATAAATTCTAAAAGTTAAACACGTATTTCATTATTTATAAGTTTTATATCTTTCTGCAGAAAACCTTCTTGGTAAACAGAAGTCTTAAACAAATTCCTAACACATACTGACAAAAACAGAGCTTTCAGATCAGTCACATAATTATTTTACAATTTAAAAGGTCCAAACTACTTCAGAAATAACTGGAAGTTAAAAAAAATAATAATAAAAAATAATTATTACAGAGAAAAAAAATGTTATTGCCTATCACTGAACTACTTTTTAACTCTTAAGTTTCAGCTATGTAAAATATTTTATTAGGTACTTCTAACACTGTAGCTATGTGTATCAGGAAAGAAATACTAAAGGACAAAAAAAAAAAAAAAAAAAGCTAAGGCTTTAAGAAAAATAATAAATAAATAAATAATCATTATTAAGCTTCTAAAATTGATACTATTATGATTTAATTTTCATTCATAAGTTTAACTGATACTTAAAATTTTAAATGCACCTCATTCCAATGAATCAAATTACATTAAACAGCATTTTTTCCAAAAATGCCAGCCTAATATAGCCACACAAATCAAACATCATTACAAAACACACTTAACAGTATTCATCATACTGGCAATTACATATATCTCATGCAAAGATTACTGAAATTCACCTGATAAAGTTTTAAATCTGAATATTCCAGTACAGGCACGGAGACATGGTTGTGCCTGGACAACCTACATGCCACCAAATTATGCCAAAAGATATAGCAATCCTGAAACCTTCTGATATATAAATATTAAATTTTTTTTATTAGAAACAGTTTTAAATTTTGGCCGTAAATTGGAGATAATATTTCAGTTCTGGGACAAATTTAACTGATTAGCTAAGATTTTACATAAAGCTCATTTTATACTTAGTTGTGTAAACTTTGGAAACAAGCATAAACTCTATGCAACCAGAAAGACTCAGGAATCAAACTTTGGTGAGAACAAAAAAGGACAGACAAAATTTTATCCCATGACACTTAAGGTCGTAGATAAAAACTTTCATAATTTTTAGATGCCTAGAACTCATTCCTTGCCTCTCATTATCTTGAAAATTTGATGTTAGGAGGTTTAAAGTTTGTTCACTCACCAATTAAAAACAGTATTTTAGAAGAAAGAAAGAAATTTACTACATTTTGTGTAAGTTCTAATTAACTATTTTTTTTGCTGCATTAAGTCATCATTTGATTTCAATTATATCAATCAACAAAACAAGTGTGTAACAAGTTGTTTTTTGATTAAGCAAAGAGAACATAAGCTTAAATTACTTTATAATCAATATTTTAGCATATTTATTTTTGCTTTAACTCTTTAACTTCTCCTTATTAAATTTCTTAAAGTGCAATTTCTTGAAACTTTTAAAATTCACTCATATATCTCTTCCCATTGCAAATTTTTAAAATATCCTCTAACTTCACATTTCTTTTATTGGCTTGCCATGGTTATGTTACCTCAAAGGAGAGGATTATAAAGTTAAAACATTGCTTGCATTCATATGTGCTTTATTTTAGTATTTTATACAGATTTTGTAATAAAAGAAAGATTTCAGTTGGTAGTCAGTAAGGGTTCAGTTAAGGTGACCAGATTTCAAAGTGTGGTGGAGATGGTATGTAGGTAAATATATATAAATCAAAATAAATAATTTTTGTATTATTTTTTAGCAGTGATGTGTAATATTTTTTAATAAACAAAATGAATAAAATTTGTATGCCTTCTAAATTATTTTGATGAAGTAGCCTTATTTTTCTCTGAAGCATGAACATTTCAAAGAATATCTTTCTTCTTTTTTGATCTTTTTATTAAACTTCCAACAATTTTCACCAAAATTTATTTTGGTGATTAACATACTCTTCAAAGTGTGCACTTTGAGCTGTATCTTATCACTAGTCCAAAAACTGTTTCTAATGCTAAATACTCACTCAGTTGCAGCATTACAACCAGGAAGATAAAAGAAGAACTGCCAATTTTATATTTTTTTTATCATTCCAATATTTTTTGGTCTATGATATATTGTTTAAGGTAGCTATTCTCAACCAGAGGTTATGTGTATGTCTGGTGGTATGCAAGAGAAAAACAGGCGGTACACAAAGAAACAAAGTATTTTTAACTATTGCATTCAAAAATTAAATATCTCAACATCCTGTTCAAGTTTTTTCTCTAATAAATTTATGCTATCTGAACTTTGCTCAAGCTTAATAGCCGGTCATAGACTTTAGCATAATAATCCATTTTTATTTTCACAAATATTCTCTTAGCCATAAACATAACAAAATTTGTCATAAATGATATATTTAAAAGGAGTAATAGAAATCGATGTTATATTTAAAAGGAAGTAAAAATAAGTTCATATAAAAAGCTAACAGCATCTCATTAACTCTTTCGCATCGAGAGAGGGCAAAATCTCAATTCCCCAAACACCGAAAACGCCCGTATCTAAGAATTTCTCCTGGAATGCTTTTCTTTCCCCCATGACAAGTTGAATACTACAGCGCTAACAATAGCCTTACTTAAGTAAAGCGAGAACTTCTTTCTTCGACGCTTTGACACTGTGTGAAGTTCCCCCTTGGGACGGGATTGCAATTTCGGGCATCAAAAGCTAAACACTAACAGTAAACAAAGGAAAGGAAGGAACAAAGGAAACAAGAAAGTTACTTTTAGTAGCTTCAAAAGAATGATTGACATGTGATTTAACAACACCTGAAAGCAATGAGTAATGCAATAACATGATGGGGGAAAGCGCTGGGTAGGAAATTATTCAGGCGTTTCGGGCGTCCAGCCGATGTCTGAATGTTTGAGCGTTTGGGGCGACTTCGATGCGAAAGAGTTAATTTGTTTAAGAGTTGATTCATTAGCATGTCTTTATATTGCCCTTCTTTCTGGGCTCATACTGCTCTTTTCAATTGGAATATTTTTTTTACATCAATCTGCTGTCTCTAACAACAAGTATTTTGTCTTATTGTTGCTTTATATTTTTTACTTTTCAACGTGATTTGAGGATATCGTTGTTTGTTTCTGAAGAGCTCGTAATATATTATGCATTTAAATATTTGTGAAAAAAAATAATAAAACAAACCTAGATTTTCAAAATAGAAAAATGGCTAGGATTGACTATGCAGAAATAAGATGATAGATACAGGAAAATCTACTAACACTAAAAATATTGAAAAAAAAAAAGTTTTGTAGAAAATATAATCATTTGGGTCTACTTGGAACGGAGGTAAGATGGTTCATCAACCTTGATGATGTACTGTTTGAAATGAAATAGTATTTTTCAATCAAAGTATGAAACCATCATTTCTTGAAAGACATCTTGAATCTAAGCATGCCAATTTAAAGGATAAATCTGAAGAATATTTTAAGAGGAAATTATCGGAGTTCAAAAATAGTAAACAAGTAATGAAAGGTTTTGTTACTTCAAGTAAAAAAGCTTTTGGAAGCTAGTTACCTAGTAAGCCTAAGAATTGCCAAGACTGGGCAGCTCAAACTAGCAGAGAAAACCTTATATTACCAACAGCTAAAGATAGTGTTTTAATATTATTCAATGAAAACACGGTTAATGAA